AATTGTAAAAAGCAGCTCCAACAGAAACTAATTCTACAACCTTAGGGTAACCAGCAGAAGCCTCCATTTTTGGGCCCTATCAAAAAAAGGGAAAGAAAAGCAGCATGGCTGAAAATTTACATCTCAAAGGCCAGTGTCTACAGTAGTGAGCTATCAAAAAGGTACTATGAAGCTGCACTCGCACTAGCGCTTTCCTACCTTGTTTCTTTCCCGAATATAACGTATGGTCATTGTAGTTGTATTTGAGTCATCTTTCAGTCTAGATACAGCTATGATGACCGTACGTAGTATTCGGGAGAAGAAGGTAGGCATATCGGGGAGCAATTACTAACGCCTTCCTTCCTTCTTCCCCCGAATACAACGTATGGTCATTATAGCTGTATTTGAGCCATCTTTCAGTCTGGATACAGCTATAATGACCCTACGTTGTATTCGGGGGAAGAAGGTAGGCGTATCAGGCAGCAATTACTAACCCCCACGGATTTGCGGCCAGAGCTGAGTTGAAAAAGTCCTAGTGTGAGTAGGCCCTCATACAACCAAAATCTATAACTGACTGAGGAAAAAAGGAAATTTCTACCCAGAATATAGGGACACAGTGGCAAAACAACAAAATTATAGTCATGGTGGTGATCCCTCAGGTGTGTCCAGTTTGGCGAGCCCCCCCATTCAAGTGATGGCCGAATAATTTAACAGCAAGCCTGGCTCCCACGAAGGCGCTCGGGGAACGATAGATGGCACCTCTATGAAGTCACTTGAGGCTTCCAGGCTGAAGGAAAATGTTAAAAACGCTTATTAAGAAAAAAACACAACATATTGAAAGTGTCAGACCCTTTTTCTGCACCCTTCATGGCCTCTGATTGCACCATGTGCGGTGGTGTAAGGTGCTCTCCTCTCCTCACTGCCGAAGTTCTCAATGTCCAAAGGGCCCACAAAATATGTCCTCTTAAACCACCTGTACCTTTCCCATATATGGGCAGCAGCAAAAAATAGAGCAGAAGCGTTTCTGGTTAAATGAATTTGGGCGCTCCCGTAGTGGTCCGTTCATTCATCATTGTCGCGGTCATTGTCGCGGCTTGTTAACCGCCGCGACTTTCGGAGGTACTGTTACCTTTCCACCCATATATCGGCAGCGGGAAAATATAGAGTAGAAGCGTTTTTAGTCCGATGAATTTGGGCGCTCCCGTCGTGGCCTGTTCGCTCATCATTGTCGCGGCTTGTTAACTGCTGCGACTTTCGAAGGTACTGGTACTGGTGGTTTAAAGTTAACGTATATGCATACTGCATTTCATGCAGGCTCCTCTGAAATGTGGACTCCTCCCAAGTCGCCGCTCTCCCATCGAAGCGGATTGATCTGACCACCTGGAGGCATCATCAGGTACCATGATAGTTGCTTGTCTAAGTCATCAGTTCCAAAAAGGTCTTGAAAGTTCCCAGAGCAAGCGAAAGTGTTGGCAAGTCCTCCATCCAAGATTCCAAGTCCCAAGACGTATACTGTATTCCAGGTGAGCCTTTGAAGTTCTTTGAGCACAGCAAGTCACTACTGGGACAGATTGATGCTTGTTTTAACTCCCACTAGACACATGCTCTATCTATTCTGGGGAGCTCCTGTCCACTTGCTCTTCACTGGCAAGCAAAGTGTTGGATAGACCGGTAGCGAAGGGGAGAAAAGAGGAAAAGACATGATAGAAGAAAGCCCTCCCTTCCGGCACTAGTAGAGCGCCTGGTACTGCATTCGACTGCCCTCGCTCTGGGCCTTCGATGAGGGGGGCCCATGCTGGCCGGGAAACATCCCAATGGTACCCAGACACACAGTATGGGCACTTCCCGAGGGGCCCCCTCTCAGAGCAGGTAGCACAGTATCAGGCTCTGGCTTTAAAGCACAACCCTCCTGTCTCTATGTTGTATCTTAGTTCCACCCTAACCCCCATGTCCCCACTGTCCAATCTCTGTCCAAAATGACACAACCACCCGAAGTACCACTCATACTTGACTAGATCCTATGCAATCCCAGACTTGTCCCAAGGGAACTACCTTCTTCCCCCGAATAGCATGTACGGTAATTTCGCTGCATCTGCACAGAAAGCTGAGCCATACTTGACTCTTGTCCTCCCTTACTACTTTCACCACTGCCCCCAGCAAAATGTACGCATCGTCGTCCTTGCAGGCCTCCAAGAGGGGTGTTTGCCGCCATTTCCACAGCCCACCATTCCCACAACTGCAGTACCACCGGGTATCTGACGAAAACGTGTGGGATGGAATCCACTTGCCCACACCCCGCTGGGGAGGTGTGATCTTTAAATTGGCGTTTCAGCGACTGACACTCTGCCATTGGCATTGCCATGTGGTAGATGAGATCCACAGCAGGCCCACTTGTCTTTGATTGGTCAGTGCCTTAAGTAGGGCACATTGCTCCTTCCACACTCACTGGCTCCATCTCTCCAGATGAGCAGGCGGGAGCCACTCCCTCTTGATCCAGTGACTGAAGCTCTTCCCCGATGTCAACATGTGGCAGCACGGATCTGTAAATAACTTTCGTTGTCGCCTGCTGGAGCAGGACCTTCCTTCTATTATGCACAGGCTAAGTTCAGTCCTGCGGGTCCTAATTCAACTTCCTCCTCGATTGACTCACTGGGAAAGTGTACATAATCCCCTGACCATTTCCTTCCATTCCATCCTCAAAAACCGACACCGTCTCCACCTCCTGTCGTCGCACTGGCATGCAACAATCCCCATGCGACCCCCTTTAGGTCTCAGGGGTGCTCCCAATCTCCTCGTATCTTGTGCTGGCTGCCCACTTTGTAACCATAATGTCGTTCTGCACCCTGTGAACCTCCTTGGGTCTGCAGTCCCCTTCCTCCCCACCTACTCTCCGTCCACCAACAGATTTT